CTAAGGCATTCAAACTTCAATTTCCTTGATAGAAAGTGAAGTTCAATGGCCAACAATACATGAAATGTACAGAAAAAATGCAGAAGCAAGGTAGCTAACCACATCCTTCGATGATGGCACATCATCTGAAGATCTGTATCTAGACTGATCACCATGCAAACCATTCCGTCTACCAAGTACCCCAACAGCACCTGAGAACCTTTCTCGAATCTCTTGGCCAACTAGAGGAAAGAAAGATATGTGCTGAGCATTAAAAGTAGGTTTATTTATGGAAATCAAGATCAGGAACACAGGCAAGTCAGGTTGATCAGATCCGAAAGTCTCAATTACAATGTTTATGTTAAAAAATTTGTCACCAGCTAAATTATCAAAATATATTCTGAAACCTCTTTGAAATGGCACAGACCTGATGGCCTTTCTGTTCTGTCAGCAGATACACCAGGGGGATTTAAACCTGGCTTTGGGCTTGGCTGTTGAGGAATGACAAGAAACATGAGATAAGAATCTTAATGAAGATATAAAATTATTATTTCCCAGAACGTCAAGGCCAACAAATTAAAGATCACTGACCCGTGCTCTTGAGCTAGAGCCAACCTGCGGATATCTCAATATGGTCCAATCAAATACGTAGTCAAACTGATAACCTGCACCAGTTGGTAGTCAAAATCAATTAATATCAGAGTTCAATCAAGCAGATTCCAAAATAAAAGATCTTTTGCAAATTTATGATGATGAACTAATGGGAAGTCTGATTCAGTTGTCAAAATTAAACAAATTAAAAGGGTGAGCAATAGTTGAACAGCGAGACTTAAAGTAACAAGTTAACCTTCTCGAATAAAAAGGTCTCTAAACAGCCTTTTCAGGTAAGAATAATCTGGTCTGTCTTCAAACCGTAGTGATCGGCAATAATGAAAGTATGATGTGAACTCAGAAGGATATGATTTGCAAAGGACCTGAAATGGCATATTACTTGTCACACACACATTCAGTATTCAATTGCTAGAACATGCAGAGATTTAACACAAAATAAGATTCAGCTTCTGATAAACCAACTTTCTCTGGTTTGGTCTTAAATATATGTATAATAGAATTTCCTGGTATCTACAGATTGTAGAAGCAAAAAATGGTACCTCTATGGGCGTAAGCATCTTCTTTTCACTGATCTTGTCATACTTCTGCTTTTTGGTGCCAGCTTTCAGGCCCTGCCATGGAAGGCTGAGACAGAGAGAACAAAACTAGGTTAAAAAAATGTCACTCAACATTTAAAAGGTTTGTGAACTAAGCAACCCGGTTGTATGTTCAACCAACCTTCCCCTGAGGAAGTACATAAGCACATAACCAAGAGATTCCAGATCATCCCTCCTGCTTTGCTCTGCAATGTACAGCACAGTTGGATCAAATATAAAGCCAAAATAATCCACAGCAACAGGTGTTTGCTGAAAGTAAAACCCATATAAATATTAGATGCAGTTAAGTACACGCACCGACTCCAAGGTGAGTGTTAACACTTGCATATCGAGCTGTTCCTGTAAGATTCTTATTTTCCCTATAAGAAGAAATGGATAACTTAAATGAGTGTCCATGGCTAGCAAAAAAGGCTAACAAAGAAGAAAAAAGTAGTACAATATGAGACCATTGTGGCACATACAGAATGATTTGTCAGGAGAGAATTATGCACGCGAAATAGGAGCTATCCTTATTGGAAGAATTGATAATTGATGACTCAAGCTAAAAGCAGAATTAAATCTCAAGTTTTTCTCAAAATGATTAATGGTAAACCCTAATTGTTTATGAGCCAGCCTAAGTCTAGAAATCCAACTTGAACGCATTAGGTATGCTGATGAGTGGCAAACATAACTAACGAAAATTTTAACCATCTCATGTTCCTCTATGCCATATAGCCTTGCTATGGGAACTCATGATCAAATCTGTTATCAGGAGAATTAAGTCATGCTTAGCGTTAAAAGTTAGGACCAATAGATGGACAATTTAAAAGAGGAAATAACAAATTCTACAAATATAAACATCAAAAGTTGTTACCTGTATGGTATGTGCTTGTATGTTTGAAGATCCCTATACTTTTTTGCAAGGCCATAATCAATTATGTATACCTACGTTGAAAAGGAGGAAACAATCGAATTAAGCAACACATACTAGCTCATCCGGTTTAATGAGAGACTCAAAAGATAGTCTTATGTCTAACTGAATTTCAGTCAAGGAAAATATAAAATTGATAGGGTCAATGACATTTCAAATGCAATACAATATAGTGTGAAAATCCCATCAATATAATCTCATGCCTCATTGGCTATTTATAAATCCAAAAAACGCTTGCACAAATATATGTGGGCTATAAACAGAAGAACGTGCCTGATTTGCTTTGCGCCCTAAACCCATCAAAAAGTTATCAGGCTTTATATCACGGTGAAGAAAACCACGAGAGTGCATATACTCAACTCTATTTATCTGGAACAACAACAAAAGAACAAGCATTACTAAGGCAGCCAACTGATCAGATTAAAGTTCCCTGAAAAAAGAAGCATACTTACTAACTGATCTGCAAGCATCAAAACTGTTTTTAAAGAAAACTTCCGATTGCAATAGTTGAACAAGTCTTCGAGGCTTGGTCCAAGAAGATCAATAACCATAACATTGTATTCACCCTCAACTCCAAACCATTTTAGATGGGGAATACCCACTGCACATGTAAAAGAAAGTAAGATAAACATTACTCACTGGGCCCCACTTATCAGAATAAATGGATAGACAAATGGAGAGAGTGAAAGAAACAAAACTTACTCCCTCCTTGAAGAAGCATGTACAGCTTCGACTCATAGTGAAGTTGGGGATGCTTTGTCTTAACAGATTCCTGAGCAAACAAGAGGAGTACTTATTGGTAAGGGGTAGGAGATTCAAAATTTCAATCACCAATATAATTAAAGTCAATTGAAATATCAAATGGAAAAAGAAACAATAGAAGTGTAACTACAATCTAACAACTGAACACTTGCAGAAATTTTATAAGAACTTGAGCAGATCATCCAAAACTATCAGCTCAAATAAATCCAGCTTTACTTTTTCTTACGTATCGAGTGATCAACCAATACAATCTAGCAAAAACACAGAAAAGAAACAAAATCTCCCCCACCCCCAACCACACTCACACAAACATAAAGTTGGGGTAAAAACAATAAAAAGCCAAACATTACCAGCTTAACAGCCACTTCCTCTCCACTTTGTACATTAACTCCTGCAAAACCAGAACACAAAAATCAACAAAACAGCCGAAAGAAAAAAAGAAAACAAAAATAAAAAGTCATAATCGTAATACCTAAATAAAGTTCACCAAACGACCCACTTCCGATCTTTCGACCAAGCTTGAATTTTCCACCAATAATATGCTCCATGATCTAATCTTACTCAACTTTATCACAATAGAGAAAACAAAAAACTGGCCCTCCTCCCCTCTTATTTCACTTTTTTAATATTGGAAAACTTGACTTTCAACAGAGAAAATGGCTCAAAACCCTTCTCTTCAAACTAACTCTCAGATCCATCAAAATTCTTATCTACCAACTCCAAAATCAAAACTCAGATTCTAAAAACCTTATAAAGCCCTCCAAAAACTCAGAAAAAAAATTATAAACCCTTTTAGTGACTAAAGGGCTAAAAAACGGAGAAACTTGATTGAAAATCTACGGAATACCCATTGATCAGTGAACCAAAACAAGCGCTTTGGGATCATCAAGCTGCATTCTCTAGGTGGGAAAAAGGTCAAGAGAAAAAGTTGGGTTTTTTTCTAAGAGATAAAACTTAGGAGTATTAAAGAGAAAAAAAGGTTATACTTTGATTGCCCCATAAAAAGGGAAAAATGGTAAAAGAATCTAAAAGGAACGAATTTATCGGCAAGAATTTGGGTGATGATCTATGGATCTGGGTTAAGGACACGGATTTAATTTTCTCAGGAAAAAATATTCTTTTGAAGGAAAGAAAAATGGAATACCCTTTTTTTTCGATGAGAGACAGAGAGAGAAAGAAAAACGGATGATTGAAGAAGCGAAGGGTGGCTTATGATATTATGGAGAATTTTCTATATTTTTAATATTTTTCAATGAAAATTATTATTATTATTATTATTTTGTGTTTGATTAAGTTTATGATGATTGAGAGAGAGAGAGAGAGGGCCGACTTTTCCTGTTTCATTGTCTCATTTGTGGTGCTAATAGACAATTTCAACAAAGAAGATAGGGAAAAGAAAATGCCTATTAAGATAATAAAAAATAAAACCTGGTTGGGTTGGGTTGGGTTGGGTTGTGTAGGTGTCTGCCTTGTTTGGTTTTGATGATATATTTTTCGTAGCCATTAAATATAGTTTAGAGTTCATTTTCACATATGGTGTATCACTTTTTGATTTCTTGGTAAATAAATTTCAGATGTTGCTTCAAAATTTTCTGAGAGATGTATGTTATCCTTATCTTTTGATTTCAAAGCAAAGAAAGTTTCATGATTTTCCATTACAATTACCCAAATTGAACTTCTTCTTTTTTTATTTAGTTACTATATAGTTTACAATAATATAGCAATTTAGCAAATTTGGGTTTATTTTTATTTGTAAAAAGTGTGACAATTGATTTTGGGTTTGCCATGATCACATCTAGGCTTTATATATATATATATATAGGGAGAGAGAGAGAGAGAGAGAGAGAGAACAAAGGAAGTAATCAAATATGGGAATGCAATGCAATGCAATGGTGGCAGGACAGGGGCAGGCTGGCAGGGGTTTGGGTATTTGATAAGGAGGTAAAATTGTCAATCAGCCTTCACATCTGCCTTCCCAACCTCTGTAAGAGCAGACACCTTGTAACAAATATTCTTTTCTTCTTTTTTCCTCTTTGAGTGAAAATGTCTGAAGAGTCTCTCCGTAAATATATCTACAAAGCCAAAAGAGGCAGAATTTTCAGACTGATTTTTGGCATAAAAATCCAAGGCTGCTTTTGTCAGTGGGGTGCATTTTTGCATGTCAAAAAATATGCAGTGTAGCTTTCAATAGTTCACAAACAGATAAATGGTTGGTAACTGAATTGACCTAAAGCGTGTTTATTAAAGTTCTGTGGTCCAAATTCCACCAATTTGTCTTTCTTAACCCCGCCACTGTACATGCTGAGCAATTGGGCTAGGCTAGGATCCAAGTAAACACACCACTAAATTCCAGATTAGGCTTGGGCCATCTTCCTATCGAAGGGCCACAAATTTTTAGTGCCATTTTCTAACAATTAAAGCAGTGTGCCAATGTCCAAATTAAATTAAAAACCAAATACAGTAAAATGGAAAGTTGTGATCAAAGCTGTGGTGTAATAGGAGTTAACTATGTTAAATGGTTCATTAAAATTTGGGGGATAATGTGAGGAGAATGAGTCCTTCATTTCGTATTGAACATGAAATGACAAAACTAAAGCAATCCAACCTTTTTCTTTTGTGGTACATAGAGAGACAGATTAGAGTTTTAGACATTTGATTAGATTTAAGGCTGTAGTCTTATCACCAAAGAACAAAAAGATTTAAGGGTGTACCAGCTTTAACCCCACTCCATCTTCCCAGCAATTTGAGCCTTGTATTTCTATATAGAAAGAATTGGGATCTAAAGCTTAGGTTGTTTGCTTGAAGACTAAGACAAGCAAATTTTACTAGAGAAAGAGAAATAAAGCCATTGAATGATTGATATACTATTTATAGTTGTAGGATAAAATAAAAAGAAAAAAAGAAAGAAAGAAATCCTAATATGAAACCTCTTTTCCAAAGAAAAAGTGTGATTGCCAATAAAGATAACCTAATGGCACATTGAAGCTTCTCATGCTATTGGATACTTACTTTTTTATCATCCTGAAAGTTGAAACTTCAACAACAGTGTCAAGTAATTGATTAGATGGATTAGCTAATGTCTAACTTTGATACAAGGCCAGCCATATTATCCAATATATCCATTTATTATTGACTCTGGTGCAATCAGAATACCCCCAAAATGGCTTAGTCTTCCCAATACTCTCAGCTGAACCACATGTCCCAACCAATTCTGGTTGACCACAACCTCTTGGAAATTGTCCTAATCCCCTGGTCCATTCCTTTGATTCTTCAATTGTCGTTTTGCATTGAAGCTGCAAAGTTCAAAGCAACAAGAGTTTCCTCACAAGGAATATTGAAGTGGTAAAAGTCATACAGGAATTTGTTTACTCGGGAATATATACCAACCATTTGCCTTTTAATAGTTTGGAATAAAAGTTTGTGTTTCCAAAAACAAAGTGGCTTTGGTACTTGGGAATTTGCTCATTTTAAGAAGGGGGTTTGGGTACATGAAATTAGCTCTTTTAAGCACCAAAATGAAAAATGTCAACAGGAATACAACCTAAAAGCTGCATTAAAAAAACAACACAAAGATTCACTGAAAAGGTATATGTAATATTCAAGTAGCAAGGTATACCAAGGTTAAGGCTCATCAACTCTGGATAAGGCAGTAAACCCTTTTTCTCACAAAAAGTTAATGCTAATAATCTTAGCCTAATCAGCAAAGAGTAAGAGCATACACTTTCTAACATATCATTTCAATCATCTTCTCTTTCACGTGACAGACCACAGACCACAGATCACAAAGAATTCAAGGAGAGAGCAGCTTTACAGTGAATAATTCCGGCCACATGCTGTATACTAAATGAACAAAAGAAATAAAACAAATACAATAAACATCTATCTCTAAATATTCAAAGATACGTTATCAAACAAAAGGATAAGATGAAAGTTGCTATGCCAACCCACTAACTCAGATTGAATCAAGTTTTATAGTTCATCACCAAACAAAATATATACTATTACACTCAAATACAACCTTAATATGGAATGGCAGCTCAAGATCATTGCCCTAACAAGGACTGAACCAATTATTCAGGACGCCTAATGAATGCATGCGTGGGTATCCCACTTAGAACAGCCACTAGTACGTCCAACACGAATCTAAGACTCTCATCTAGGACGAGGCACACAATGTTCCTAAGTAAGGGTAACTAGTGAAGGAGCAATTGTGACATCCACTTGCAAGTTGTGCAATCTTCTCTACAGGCAACACAAAGTGTATAGAACTAACTCAGCACAAACAAAACACAATCCCAGCTTCCCAACCGTTAGCAGTCAGCAACATGAATCAAAGCCATACCATTTCGCTTCACATTATAGGCAAACTCCCAAACTCATCGAATCATATGCACTTTCCACATATTCCTCCGATCCTTCTATACTCTTACCACCTAGATATTGAGACCAAATAATTCCCTTTCAAGTCACAAAATATTGGTCTTTTTACAACACAACACAAAGTCTAACCAATTCAATACCCCAGCACCTATTCAAAATCCCAAGAACAAAGAAAGGAGAAGCAACTAAAACAACCCATGTTCCATTCAAATTCAAAAACCCCATAAAAGATAACCAAAAACCCAAAACTATAAACAATCAAGCAAGAACATGAAGTGTTTATATAGCTCACAAAGACCTCATATCAGTTACCCAATTAATAAAAAAAAAAAAGAAAGGAGAATTTTTTCTTCAAAATTTCTTTTACCTGAATGAAATTGTAGCGTTCTCTTCCAATGGATTCATTTTCAGCCACGGCAAAATAGGCCAATATTGGGCAATGCCCAATGTAAGAGGCATAGCTATCTCTTTGGATATTCACTGCCCATTCACTGCACACCAAATTCAACGAATCCAAAAGTTAAAAAAAAAAAATCTTTGAATTATTAATATTATACTTTAGGGTTTAGGGAAGATTTAATTAGAAGATTAGGGATTTACCTGCATTTCCTTTCTTTTGCTTTCTATAATAGCAAGAACCAGCGAAGAAAAAAGGATTACTAATTTACTGTCACACTTACATGGCGTCGTTTCAAATAGCAAATATTGGAATACAAAACGACGTCGTTTAAAGAAACATAAAAATAGCACGGAGAGCAAGGTATTGGGCTGATGTATAAAGCCCGAAACAAAATGCTGGATCAGGCCCAAGTTGTTTTTCTTGAGTTGCAAGTCTCATTTTATTATAAAACTGATCGAACCATCACTATAATTAATTTAATAAATGAAAAATTGCATTTGTGTTTTCATTCACAATCTAGCTACCCAATATCTGTAATTCAACTACATGTTATAATTAAATATTTTAAAGAGGAAAGCTTGAAAGAATTTATATTAAATTTTTAATTTAATCTCAATTATGTATGTGCAATATACGAATTTAATTATAATATATGCGATGCTTATTCATATCCTTAATATCTACAATTAGGTAATAAAGAGTACATAGAAGTAAAGTTGTGGTAGGTAGAAAATAATTGAATGCACAACAAGGATACAGCTTATTTTTTAAAAAAATTGTCTAAGTGGTCTAGAGGGAGGTCCTTGCCTAAAATGGAATAAGCATATATATGAAAAAATAATTAATTACATGTCTAATTTGCTGAATGATATGATTAATATTGGTAATGACAGTATGACAGCCTAAAAAGTTTTATTATATTTAGGAATGCAAGCGAATTCTTTATATTTGTTCATATTATCAATATAATAATCATAATGGCAGTATCTAAGTTTTCTTTTCATCATTGGAAAGATATCTTAGAATAGATAGTGTGCATAAGAAAATTAATGATATGACTAAGGGAAGAAAAAGTTGGGAAACTTAATAAATATTTTTAGACCATACAAACCAAAATAATAGCTTTTCATAGGAATATTCAAACCTAATAATAATTTGAACCTTTTTATGTGAGAAAACAGGTAATATCATAGAGGAAGTGTTATTACTAACTTTCCTTTTAATGCCCTTGACAATGATAAATCTTGAGCCTACGCATTAATTTCTTCAATAAAAGCACCACCTCATATTCTAAATATGGAGTCTAACATTAGTTTCCTCCCCTTTTTGGCTTTCTCACTTATGCAATTGGGATTTTATGATGTCATATATTAATTAAAATTAAATCAATAAAATATTTTTTCCGTGAACTTGAAAGGAACCTTTAAAATGGTAACCTGTTCTTTGTACCTATATATATATATATATTCATTTTGATACACAGCCAAAGTGCCATACCTATTCATTTTGCTCTTGATCTCTCTTCCCTCCCCATTTCTCTCTTTCTTTTTTGAAAGGTTACAAGTTTTCTACCAAAACCATGGCTGGTTGTGGTTGGAACTCAAGGCATGCAAACATGCATGGGCTTCACCATGCAAGGCTTGAGAGCGATACTAACCTAATTGCTTGTCGAATTTGTGGTCGATTTCTTAAGGGTGTGAAAGCTCTATTTGATCATGTCGAGGAGCGTCACCTATTATTTGATGCGACTGCTGAAAAAAGACAGCTTTTACTAAGCCACTTACCATCCGCCCCAAGTATCCTCTCTGCCAACCATTTCAACCAAAATCCTATGCTGCCTACAGCAAGAAACCATTTTCCCATTGGAGCCAATACTAGATACCCAGATCTGCAATGGGCTACCGCCCAATCACATGCTTGCTTTGGGTCTAGGAACAACCACATGCCCCTGATTCAAACACAGAAGCCAACAACTGATGGTGGTGCGACCCAAATAATGGTGCCAAATCTTCCAAATCAGTGCTTCACCAGGCCCTTTTTGAACCAGTTGGAGGCAACCTTGATAATAGAAGGAATGTCAACATTTGTAGATAGGGCAATGACTGCTAAATTCGAAGATCAACAAGGGTTGGATGTGACCTTGAAACTTGGAAGGGCAGATCGGGACTAGGGTTCTTTTAATTTCTTTATAGACCAAGTTATCTAAATTATGATGTTTGTTCTTATGGTGTTTTTACTATTGCTATTTGTCCTGGTTGCCATAAAGTTTTTTAGTATGTTAATTTTAATTTGATGTTGTATTTGGATTCGCTTTAGATATTTAAGAAATACAATGAGAATTTATCTTTTTTCATATTGGAGAATGAATTTGCAAGATTAATTATGTATTTATATATATATTCAATCATATGGATTTCGCGCGAAAATTTAAAATACTATCAACGGTTCTTTTTAATAAATTTAAAATCATATTAATTGTGTGATATTAAAAATTATTTACTTTTATTGTCAAAGTAATTTATCAATTAAGTTTATTTACCCTAATGATCATTAATTATTATGTGGGGAGAGAAAGAGATCGGATACATCAAAATTTGACGTGAAAAGTCAAAAAATTTCTTTTAAAATAAAAATTTCTTTGCATGAATCATCTATTATGTGCAAAATTAAATTGCTATCAACAACTTTTTTACAAATTTAAAATCAAATTGAATATGTCACAAAAATTAATTACTCATCTAAATAGCTATCAACAGTTTCTTTATAAATTTAAAATAAAATTGATTATTTTATAAGAAATTAATGATTTATCTAATTAATTTTCCTATTTCTAAGGACTATATTAACCTATTATACAACTTCTTCATTCCTCTACTTGTTTTCCTCAAGTGCTTTTATTAGATTGTATTATGAAATGTTGATTTTCATCATATGACAGTACATTTTCACACCAAGGCTATATATGTTACCATTAGATACATTTACCTTAATCGTCTTATGAACTTGTGTAAGAAAGGAAAAATCTACTACAACACACAAAAATCTACTATATATATTACCCTATATATACATTCTTTCTTAATCATCTTATGAACCTACATGCAGAAGGAAAAATTTACTATAAATTATGTGAGCATTTACTATAAATTATACTGTTTAACTTTCATCATTCTCGTTCCAGAGCCTTTATACAAATTTCATTTGACTTTTATTCTCATTTTCATATTACTCTTTAGAAATGCTTGGCTTTAGTTGGAACTTGGAGAATAGTGGTTTCAACCAAAATTTATCAACTCCCTTAAGCATAATACAAAAACGATGTGTATTATGTGATGAAGTCCTCTATGGCTATGGCTTTGATCTTGTCATTAGCCATTATGTTTCTCATATAATGTTAGCTTATGAAAGGAGGACAATCAGTATTCACCACAATGAGAGGAATTATCCTCTCATTCCCTTAATGCAAAATTTCATTCTACCTCCACCTCGTTTAATTCATTCATCCTTTCAGTTAAGAAACAATTTGCTATATCAACATCAAGCGTATCCAAGACACTATGCTTTAAGGCACTATATAGCCTCACAATCTATCAAGTCCTAGCACTTAGAACTTATGCCTCTCATGTTGCTTTGATATTGGTATCATGCTCACTCCTCCTGCTCAACAAATGGAAAATCGAAACCCTACAAATGGCAACACGTTGGCTCCCTTACTGTGGAAACCAATGACTTGCCCCTTTTTTTGATTGATTTATCTATTAATTAGGACAATGGCAACACAAATTGCTCTAATGATGACTTAAACACTGATTTGAATCCTTGAGAAAACCATTATTCTGATGAAAGCAATACAGACTTCATCTTTCAATTATAATTGGATTACTAGTTGTTGTTGTTGTTGTTTTGTTTCTTTTGATATGGCAATTGTCTTTTATTATTCGGTCTGGCTAAGAATTGGACCAAGAAGATAAACAATGCTAAGGTTAATATTAACCTGTTATAGACCAAGAATCGGTGTGTCACCCATATCCCTAGGAGTGCTAATGACATGGTCAATAACCTCACAAAATCTGGTATCCTTGGTTAGCATGATTTTTCATGGTTATTGGTTAGAGGCAACTCATGTAAAGCCTTGTTTCTGTTTATTGTTTGTAGCTATGGTTTGTGAACCCCCTCACTGGCTTTTCGTTACGTAGTTGGAGAAGGACTTTTACTATCTTTTTGGCATTAGCTGGATGCTCTGTACAAACTCATTGAAGCCATTAGTTCCCCTTATGGTCCTCCTTTTATCAAATCATAGCTATTGCATTCCAAAAAAAAAAAAAACTAATTAATTATTTGGGTTCATAGCTAATAATTAATTACTTATTTCCATATATATAAATAGGAGAATACATGATAAAATAATTAATTACATGTTTAATTGCTGAATGTTCATATTAATTTTGGAAATGACAGTATAGCAGCCTAAAAAGTTTTATTATAATTAGGAATGCAAGCAAATTCTTTGAATTGTTCAAATCATCAATATTATGATAAATCAAAATCAAGCATTCTTTTTATCAATGGAAAGATATCTTAGTATAGATAGTATACCTAAAAAATTTAATGATATGAATAAAGAAAGTAAAAATTTTTAGAACAAACAAACCAGAAATAATGGGTTTCCATAGCAATATTCAAACATAATAAATTCATAACCCATTTTCTTTGGAAATACAGGTAACATGTTAGTGCAAAGATATCAAACACTTAGCCAATTGTACATCAAACCCAAGGCAAAACATCTCAAGCAAAATAACACAGCTGCACAAAATCTCAACAAACAACGAAAACAAAAACACAAAGAATCATCCTACGCTTAGAAAATAATCAAAACTCTGCCATGATCCACCTAAGGGCCAACACGTAATCATCCCAACAATGATCCAACAGCATAGTTGAGGGCCACATTCCTCAACACAACAGATTAGTTAGAACAAAAAACATGTGGCTGCATCACATAGCATTTACTCAAAGACAAACAAAATGCGCCACCTTAAGCATGATAGACACCAAGAGACCATGTCATCTCCAAGCACAGAAAACATTTCCTAGATATATAATTACAGATTCACTTATCTTGAGCCTACGCGTTAGATTCTCCAATAAAAGCACCATCCCAAATTCTAAATATGCAGCCATTGATTGGTTTCATTCCCTTTTTCACTTTATCATATCAGCTAGAATTAATCAAAAAAATAAATGCGTAAACTTAATGGAAACCCTTAAAATGGTAACATACTAACTTGTTCTTTTTACCTATATATAAATAGATTGAAATGTAGCCAAAATGTTATCCCTACTCATCCTACTCCTGCTCTCTTCTCCTACCTCATTTCTCCCTTTCTTTTTGAAAGGTTACAAATTTTCTGCCGAACACCATGGCTGGTTATGGTTGGAACTCAAGGCATGCAAGCATGCATGGGCTTCACGATGAAAGGCTATATCGTGATACTGACCTATTTGCTTGTCGAGTTTGTGGTGATATTCTCATGGGCAAGAAAGCTTTATTTGATCATGTCGAGCTTCACCTACTACTTGATGAGAGTGCTGCAATTAGGCAAGTTTTATTGAGCCATTTGTGGTCTGCCCAAAGTATCCTCTTTACCGACCATTTCAACAAAAATCCTATGCTACCTATAGAAACATGCCCTTTATCTATTGGAACCTATACCGGATACCCTGATCTGCAGTGGGCTACTGCCCTATCACCTATTTGTTTTGGGTCTAGGAACAACCACATGCCGCCGATCCAGACACAGCAGCCAATAATTTATGGTGGTGCAATTCAAATATGGGTGCCAGAGCCTCGAAATTAGTGCTTCACCAAACCTTTTCTGAACTAGTTGGAGAAACCTTGCTAGATGAAAGAATGGCGACGACCCTTGATAGGGAAATTGTTGCTAAATTCAAATATCAACAAATGTTGGATGTGAACTTGAAACTTGGAAGGGAAGATCAGGACTTGGGTTCCTTTGATTTCTTTATAAACTATGCTATCTAGGATATGATGTTTGTTCAATAATGTTTTTATTGTTGCTATTTGTTGTGGTCACCACACAATTATTTAGTATGTTAATCTTTAATTTGATGGTGTACTTGTATTGGCTTCAAATATCTATAAAATTGCATTTGTTATATGGGAGCCTAACCTTCGTAAGGTTATTATATTACGTATATATATTTACTCATAGATTTTGTTCGAAAATTTAAATTACTATTAACGGTTATTTTTTATAAATTTAGAAATATATTAATTATGACATTAAAAATTAATTGCTGTTATTGTCTAAGTAATTTGTCAATTAAGTAGTTGATGTTGTTTACTTTATGATCACTCAAGATACATTAAAATTTGATGAGAAAATACAAAAACTTTTCTTTTAAAATAAAACTTTCTACCATATGCATGAACTTGAGTGCAAAATTTAATTACCATCAACGGTTTTATAATTTTAAAATGAAATTGATTATTTCATAAAAATTAATTACTTATCTAATCTAATTAATTTTTTAATAAAAATAATTGATTTTATTTGTTATATGATCACGTCATCATTTTGTGAAAAGAGAGAGAAGGGATATACATCAAATCTTATATGAAAAATTTATGAATCTTTCTTCTTTTTTTTAAGAAAAAATAATCTCAATCATATGTATGAGTATCCTATCTCATTCAAGTTCTAAGTTGTCAAGTTTTTAAGGAGTATATATGGTAAGAACTTGAATTAGAAAATTCATTTGCTATCCAAGCATATAGAGATCCTTTAATAAATTTAGATGCAAAAAAAAAAAAAGAGAATTAATGGTGGTCAAATCATTATCTTTCCAAAGATGATGTGTAAGCAGCCAGGTCTTAGGTGTACAATGCATTATGAATAATATTATTAGTTGGCTCTTAAAACAGAATGATCCAAATTCATGAAAACATAAGGCTTATACATATAGTCATTGCTTGTTTTCATTTTTTGAACCTTTTTATAAGAAAATCATGTTTTATTTCTAAAAATATGAAGAGTAACCAAAAAAGATTGAAACATACAATCGATTTATATCGGCATGGCCCATTCCAACATAGTTAGCTGGTAGATATTTGAGCTGAGAATTTATGTTAAACTTATCACTTGCCTGAGAGAAAAAAAGAATTATTAATGTTATAATTACATGTTTTACTTGAAAGAATTTATATTAATTTTTAAATTAATCTCAATTATGTCTATTGGATATACAAATTAATGATATATGTGATTATTGTTCAAATCCTTAATATTTACAATTTGGTAATAAAGATTAGATAGAAGTAAGTTGTTATTCATCAATGTGGTAGGTAGAATATAAATGTACAACAAAGATATAGCTTATTTTTTTTAAAAAAATTGTTTAATTGGCTTAGAAGGAGGTCCTTGCCTAAAATGGAATAACCATATATAAGAAAAAATAATTAATTACATGTCTAATTTGCTGAATGTTATGATTAATATTGGTAGTGACAGTAAAACAGCCTAAAAAGTTTTATTATAATTAGGAATGCGAGTAAATTCTTTGAATTTGTTCAAATCATCAATAATCATAATTTCAGCATCAAGCTTTTTATTCATCAATGGAAAGATAACTCAGAATAGATAATATGAATAAGAAAATTAATAATATGACTAAGGAAAGAAAAGTTGGGAAACTTAATAAATATTTTTAGACCATACAAACCAGAAACAATGGGTTTTCATAAGAATATTTAAACCTAACACTAATATGAACCTTTTTATTTGAGAAAAACAGGTAATATCATAGTGGGAATGTTATTACTTTCTTTTTAATGCCATTGACAATGATAAATCTTGAGCCTACGCATTCTTTTCTTCAAAAAAAGCACCACCTCACATTCTAAATATGCAGTCTAATATTAGTTTCCTCCCCTTTTTGGCTTTTTTACCTATGCAATCGGGCTTTATGATGTCATATATTAGTTAGAATTAAATCAATAAAATATTTTTTGCATGAACTTGAAGGGGAACCCTTAAAATGGTAACTTATTCCTTTTACCTATATATATATCGACTGATACACAGCCAAAATGCCATACCTACTCATCCTGCTCTTGATCTCTTCTTCCTCCCCATTTCTCCTTTTCTTTTTTGAAAGGTTACAAGTTTGCTGCGAAAACCATGGCTAATTATGGTTGGAACTCGAGGCATGCAAATACGCGTGGGCTTCACCATGTAAGGCTAAAGAGTGATACTGACCTAATTGCTTGTCGAATTTGTGGTGGAATTCTCAGGGGAGTGAAAGCTCTATTTGATCACATTGAGCTTCACCTATCACTTGATGAGAGTGCTGCAAAAAGGCAGCTCTTTCTAAGCCACTTGCAATCCGCCCAAAGTGTCTCCTTTACCAACCATGTCAACCAAAATCCTATGTTACCTACAGAAGGAAGCCCTTTTCCCATTGAAATCAATACTAGATACCCTGATCTGCTGTGGGCTGCCGCCCCATCGCATGTTTGTTTTGGGTGTAGGAACAACCACATGCCATTGATTCAGACACAGAAACCAACAACCTATGGTGGTGCAACCCAAATGATGGTGCCAAAGCCTCAAAATCAGTGCTTCACCAGGCCCTTTCTAAACCAGTTGGAGGCAACCTTGCTAATGGAAGGAATGTCAGCGTTCGTAGATAGGGAAATGACTGCTAAATTCGAAGATCAACAGGTGTTGGATGTGACCTTGAAACTTGGAAGAGCAGATCAGGACTAGGGTCTTTTCATTTCTTTAGAGACTATGCTATCTAAACTATGATGTTTGTTCTTATAATGTTTTGGATTTTTACTATTGCTATTTGTCTTGGTTGTCATAGAGTTATGTTATTTTTATCAAGTTTGCGAATTGCACTAATGGGAGAAAAAAATTTATAACTTTAAACATCTTTCCAACAACATTCTTCTGTTGTTGAAAGTCATCAGTTCAAAAAAATATTACTCTTGAAGGGAGCTCAAGGTCCCTCTTGGCTGTTATATTAACCAGAGGTAAACAAATAGTAAGATGCATATATAAAACAACACAAGAATGGGCAGAAAAGAAATTAAAAAGAAAAATGGAGAAGGAACTTGTTACTTTCCTTTAGGATGAACATTCTTATGGAAAGGCCAAAGATCTACTAGACGCTCAAGCACCGACGCACTTTTGGCAAAGTAGCCTGAAAATCCGGCAGGGGTGGATGGAGGAGGGAAGTCTTCTGCAGGCATTGCAAATGGGTGAATCATCCTTTCCATTTTCTCTAATGTAAGGTAGGATCCCACTTCTTGCGGCCTTTCTGGACCCATTATTGGCAGTGTGTGCTCCTGGTGCATTGAAGCAGCCTTGCTGTCGTTCATCTCCAGTGGTGATAAATCTGCACCACGGTTGTCGTTCACCACTGTGTTCTCAAACATCCTCATCACAATGTAACTCATGTAGTCCAGCTCCTTCGTTTTATACAAACGCTCCAAAGCTGTCTGGCTCCCTGAAGAGATTCATCCAGGTTAGTGTAACGAAGTACATTCATAGGGGAGTGGAAATGAGATTCTGATGTGAAGTAAAGGCGTGTTCGCACATGGCGCTCAGGTGTCGTGACATTTGCATACTTTGGGTCCAAATGGTATTTGGTCTCTTTATCATCATCATCTTCATCCATTGACATTTCACTTGTGATGCTGGTCTCCTTGTGTCATTAGTCCTGGTGAAAAGCCTTGGTGAAAAATCTTTATCTTCCTTTTCAATCTTGGTTGATTTTGAGCATTCGTCTTGATTACTCCTTAACTCAGCAGTATTAAGAGCTACCTCATGAGTATTCCTCAGATCAATCAAAATTTTACCCGATAAACCGCGCATAATCTTAGAACTAAGTTTTAGCTTTAGATATAATCTATTCAATTGCAATGAGAATTTATCTTTTTACATATATTAGAGAATGAATTTGCAAGGATATTTTTTATATATAGAATTAGGGATTTCGCGCCAAAATTTAAAGTACTATCAATGAGTTTTTTTTTTAAAAAAATTAATATCATATAATTATGATATTAAAAATTAATTATTTTTATTGTTGAAGTAAATTATCACTTAAGTTTATTTACCCTAAGATTATTCATTATTATGTGGGGGAGAGAGAGAGAGGATACATCAAAATTGGATTAGTAAACTCAAAAAATTTCTTTTAAAATAAAATTTTTTACAATACGCATGAACTATCTATTGCACACCAAATTATATTGTCATCAACGACTTCTTTACAAATTTAAAATGAAATTGAATATCTTACAAAAATTTAATTACTGATTCAAATGACTATCAACAGCTTTTTTATAAATTTAAAATGAAATTGGTTATTTTATAAGAAATTAAAGTTTTATCTAATTAATTTTTCTATTTTTAAGGATTATATTACATCACCAAAGTTTTATCTAATTTAAAATAATTAATTATTAAGCTTAATAACTAACTCCATATTTATATTTAGAGCATGCATGAAAAGCCATAATATAAAAATGAAAATAGTTTTCTTATTATAAACATTTCACTTTGTAGGTAATTTTAATTAGATTATATCATGAAAAGTTTATTTTCAGCGGATAAAGGCATTTTCACACTAAGGTTATAATGTTGTCATGTATGTAAATTTTATTTAATCGTCTTAAGAACCTACATAAGAAAAGAAAAATCTATCATAAATTTTGTAGAAATTTGCTATATATATATTACAATGTATGTATATTCTTCTTTAATCATCTTATGAACTTGTGTGAGAAAGGAAAAATCTACTATAAATCATACAAAAATCTACTACATATGTTACCTTGTATATACATTCTTCCTTAATCATTTTATGAACCTATATGTGTAAGAAAAAATTTACTATATACTATGTGGGCACCTACTATAAATTATTATACTAATGGACTCTCTTCATTATTGTCTTAGAGTCTTTATACAAATTTCTTTCAACTCTTATTCTCGTTTTCACATTGCTCCTTAAAAATATTTGGCTCTAGTGGAACTTGGGAATGGTGATTTCAACCAAAATTTACCGACTCCCTTAAACAAAATACAAAAATGATGTGTATTATATGATGAAGTCCTCTATGGCTTTGATGTTCTCATAAACCATTACATTTCTCATATAAATGATAGCCTTTTTTTTTGGGAGGGGGAGGTGTGGGGGGAAGGGCATTCAATTAAGAACATCCTCTTCCAAAAATTCGCGTATGCTGCTTCAAGTGGCGAGCACATGGTATTCTTTAGTAAAAGGTGAAAGAATAGTTCGCTCTTTGCTCACTACACGGGTCCGTATATAAATGATAGCTTACAAAGGGTGAACAGTCAATATTCACTACAATGGGAGGAATTATCTCTCATTCCCTTGGTGCAAAATTTCTTTCCACCTCCACTTCGTTTAATTCCTTCATCCTTCTAGTTGAGAAATAATTTGCTAGATCAACATTAGGCACATCCAAGAAACTATGCTTTATGACGTTGTATAGCCTCACAATCTATCAATTGATAACACTTTGCACCTATGCCCCTTGTGTCGCTTTGCTATTAGTATCATGCTCATTTCTTTTGCTCAACAAATGGAAAATCAAAACCCTACTGGTGGCAACACGTTTGCTCCCCTACTTTGGAATCCAACAACTAGCCCTTTTTGTGATTGATTTGTCTATTGATGGGGGTGATGGAAATACAAATTGTTCTAATGATAACTTAAGCACTGATTTGAGTCTTTAAGAAAACCATTATCTTGATGAAAGGCATTACAGATTTCAGCTTTCAATTATAATAGGATTACTAGTTGATGTTGTTGTTGTGTTTCGTTTGACAAGGCAATTGTCTTTTTATTATTCAGTCTGGCTAAGATTTGTACCAAGAAGATAAACAATGCTAAGGTTAAGTTGCTTTTTTTTTTATACAAAAAGAAAATAAATAATTAAATATCAGGATTCATAACTAATAATTAATTACTTATTTCCATATATATAAATCGAAGAATACATGATAAAATAATTAATTACATGTCTAATTTGCTGAATCTTTTGATTAATATTGGAAATGACAGTATAGCAACCTAAAACGTTTTATTATAATTAGGAATGCAAGCAAATTCTTTGAGTCATTCAAATAATCAATATTATCAATAGTCAAAGTCATACATTCTTTTCATCAATGGAAAGATATCTTAGAATAGATAGTATACATAGGAAATTTAATGACATGAATAAGGAAAACAAAAAATTTGGAAACTTAATAAAAATTTTTAGAACATACAAATCAGAAATAATGGGTTTTTATAGGAATATTTAAATCTAACAATATCTTAACCTTTTTCTTTGGGAAATACAGGTAATATCTTAGTACAAACACTAAGCAAGTTATACATCAAACCCAGGCCAAAACATTTCAGACAAAATAACACAACTGCACAAAATCTCAACAAACAACAAACACAAAACATAAAGAACCATCTTCATACGCTTAGAATACAATCAAAACTCTGTCATGATCTACCTAAGGCCCAACACGCAATCATCACAACGATGCATGTCATCTCCAAGAACAGAAAACATATCCTAGATATATAACCACAGATTCACTTATCTTAAGCCTAGGCATTAGATTCTTCAATAAAAGCACCACCCAAATTCTAAATATGCAGCCATTGACCGGTTTCATTCCCTTTTTGGCTTTCTCATATCAGCTAGAATTACTCAAGCAAATAAATACATGAACTTAATGGAAACCCTTAAAATGGTAACATGTTCTTTTTACCGATACATAAATTGACTGAAATGCAGCCAAAATGTTATCCCTACTCATCCTACTCTTGATCTCTTCTCCCACCCCATTTCCCCTTTTCTTTTTGAAAGGTTACAAGTTTTATGCCAAACACCATGGTTGGTTATGGTTGGAACTTGAGGCATGCGAACATGCATGGGTTTCACCATGAAAGGCTATATCATGATACTGACCTTTTTGCTTGTAGAGTTTGTGGTGATATTCTCATGGGAAAGAAAGCTCTATTTGATCACGTCGAGCTTCACCTATTGCTTGATGAGAGTGCTGCAGTTAGGCAGATTTTATTGAGCCATTTGTGGTCTGCCCAGAGTATCCTTTTTACCAACCATTTCAACCAAAATCCTATGCTACCAACTGAAGCAGGCCTTTTTCCCATTAGAACCTATCCTGATTTGCAATGGGCTGCTGCCCCATCGCCTGTTTGTTTTGGGTCTAGGAACAACCACATGTTGTTGATCCAGACACAACAACCAACAGCTTATGGTGGTGCAATGCCTCGAAATCAGTGCTTCACCGGGCCCTTTCTGAACTAGTTGGAGAGAACATTTCTAGATATAAGAATGGCGACTATCATTGATAGGGAAACTGCTGCTATATTCAGAGATAAACAAATGTTGGATGTGAACTTGAAACTTGGAAGGGAAGATCAAGACTAGGGTTCTTTTGATTTCTTCATAGAATATGCTATCTAGGCTATGATGTTTGTTTTTATGATGTTTTACTGTTGCTATTTGCCGTGGTCACCATGTATGTTAATCTTTAATTTGATATTGTACTTGGATTGGCTTTAGATATCTATAGCATTGCAATGAAAATTTATCATTTGTCATATTAGAACATGACTTTCATAAAGTTGTTGTATTATGTATATTTATTCACTTATAAATTTCGACGTGAAAATTTAAATTGTTATCAATAGTTACTTTTTATAAATTTAAAATTATAATTTTTATAAAATTCAAGAATTTCATTAAACGGGAAATAGTTTCCAGCAAAAACAGAGGGATTTTTAACCTGTATGCTTCATCAACAAGACATATTGGCTCAAAATCAAACTCTGGTAGTACAAAAGAAAGCAAAATCATCCCTCACAGTTCCTAACACAGCCCGCAAGCAACCAGACTTAGAATTCACAAACTGCTGACGAAGCCTGTACAAGACTTAAACAAAAACAATATCTATATTCCCCTATCAAAATAACCCAGCAATGCTCCACCATTCTCCCATATCACACGACCATTCAACAACAGACCATGATTGTCGTGATTTTCATGAAAAGTGCAGCAACATCACCTAATATCCATCCATCCAAAAAAGCATTATACGAAGCGATCCTCTCTAGAAGAACCAGCATTCGATGCGAACCTAGTAGCTCTCAACACTTTTGTTCCTTATCCAAACAAGACCAGTAGAAAGACATCACACATAAACTGACTCAAAGCGAGACCCTGAGAAAAAAACAAAGACTGCAGGGTTTCACTGTCCGGCTTCAGCACTAGGATGCAGAGGGTTAAAAACATTCAACCAAAGAGCAACGACATGCTCAGCTCTAGAAACATGGATCACCTCAGCCCTATCACACCCGCAGTTCCCAAGCAACATAACCATTCACAAAAATCTATCTCATGAAGAACATCTTCGGAAACACACAAAACAGCGAGCTTAAACATAGTTTGAAATCATATTAATTATGACATTAAAATTTAATTACTTTTTATTGTCTAAGTACAATTAAGTAGTCGATGTTATTTACCTTATGATTATTAAGGATACATCAAAATTTGATGAGAAAATACAAAAAAAAAACTTAAATTAAAACTTTTTACTCTATGTATCAATTAATTTATCCCGCGTAAAATTTAATTATCATCAACGATTTCTTTATTTTAAAAAAAAACTTGATTGTTTTACAAAAAATAATTACTTATCTAATTAATTTGTTCTTGATTGTGATTTGTGATGGTAAAGTAACATTGAGTTTTGATGTGGTTCAATTTTTATTACTAAAAAAAATCAATTTCAATAAAATGCTTGATTTTGTTTGTTATATAATCACATCATGACTTTGTGGAAAGAGAGAGAGAGGGGATATACATCAAATTTTATGTGAAAATACATAAATCTTTTTTTTTGGAAAAAAAATTCAATCATATATATGGAATATATATCCTGTCTCATTCAAGTTCTAAGTTGTCTAGCTTTTAAGGAGCATATATAGTAAGAACTTGAATTACCACATTCCTTTGCTATCCAAATGCATGCAGATCCTTCAATAAATTTAGATGCAAAAAAATTAATGGTGGTCAAATCATTAGCTTTCCAGAGATGACGTGTAGGGAGCTAGTCATTAGATGTACAATACATTATGAATAATATATATATATATATATATTTTAAAGGTATATCATCTATCATTCATAACTGGAGTAACGAAAGCATTAACCTCTGGAGAAATAAAAAAAAAAAATCTGTGGCAATTTCAAGTCTATACACACAGGACCTTGAGCATACAACCCAAGTTGTCTTTGTGGACATGCACCAGCCAGGACAAATCCCACCCACTATTCACACCACCTAAATTCATCTTAGTAACGTCCACTTGTGCCAATACAATGGGCAAAATGAAAGCAAACAGAGACAAAAAATCATCCCTCTACCCAGAGAGAGCCAAGAACAAAGATTAAAACCATCCTTCTTTCAAACAAAAAGCCCCAAACCTTTCGCTTCTCACCCTCGTAGACACACCAACCAAACATTGCCCAAGAGTGTCATCATCCCTCGACAAGACACCAATCCGAGGACGGAGTTACTTATTTGGAGCCATTGACGAAAAAGAATAAAAATTAAATATTTTTAAAATTAATAGGTTAAACTTAATTAATAATATAAAAATTTATAATAAATTATAATTTTATATAATATGTAAATAAAAATAAATAAAAAATATTTATAATAATCTTTAAGAAAGTTATATTTGATCATATTTTTGAATTTAAATTTATTAATTATTGAGTTTGTATGAAATAAGTTAATAATATCTTTCTCAATATAAATAACTAAATTATATATAAAAAATTTATTACCCATTGTATTTCAGAATTTTATTTTCATAATTTCATTATTGAAAAAGATTCAAAGTAATGAAGTCGACATTTAATATCTTTTTTTTTTTTTTTTGCTAGGAGCCAGACTTTTTTTGCTGTGTCTAGTCTTTGTTATGAGCAAGATTTGTAGGGTAGTTTGAGTCCTTTATGCAGGGGGAATATAGTCCTTTTTGCCTTGGCCAGGGGCTTTGAATGAAGTATTACTTTTCAAAAAAAAAAATCAATATCCTTATTTTATTTTTATTTTTATTTAAATTTAAAATATTAAATATAAAATTATAATACATAAAATATAAATAATTAAATATGATATATAAGATTTCATTTAATCGTTAAATATATAAATAATCAAATAATATAAATAAAAAGAAAAAGATAAAAAAAAAAACTTGACCTCTTCTTAATTTCACATTATGATGGTGAGTGGTTTCCATCCTTCCTTCTCTAAGCTCATAAGTTTATAAATTTCTTTTGAAAAATGAAGTGTGGTTTAGTGGTGAGTTATAAAAAATAAAAAATAAAAAAAATATGACAAAAGAGAAGAGAAAGAGGAGATTCATTTATCCTTCTATCAATTAATTTCTTAACTTTCAAAAAAAATGAGAAAAAGAAAGAGAGAAAAAGGTGGAGAGTAATTTAAATTAGGGTAAAGTCGAATAAGATTTGTGGAGTCATTTTATTATTATTTATTTATATTAATTATTAAATAAAAAATTATTTTGAGAGGCATTAAAAGAATATAACAAATAAAAATGTTCAAAAATTTTGAAAAGTCATTTAAATTATATAATATAATAAATGAAAATTTTCAAAAATTTTTGGGTGGGCCATTGCCCCCCATCCATCCATTACCTTTCGCCCTTGCACCAATCCAGCCGTAGAGAACATGGACATCCATTATCAAAAAGAGAACAAAATAGACACAAGTTCATGAAAATATAAGGCTTACACACATGTACATATATGTATATATATACATATATACATATAAATTATGTAAAAATTTGTTATATATGTTACCATATATGTGCATTTTTCCTTAATTGTCTTATAAACCGTTATGAAAGGAAAATTTCACTATAAATTATACTGATTAACTCTCCTCATCCTTATCTCAGAGTCTTTTTACAAATTTCTTTTAACTCTTAATCTCGTTTCCATATTACTCCTTAACTATGTCTAGTTGGAACTTTGAGAATGGTGGTTTCAACCAAAATTTACCAGCTCCCTTAGGCATAATACAAAGACCATCTGTATTATGTGAGGAAGTCCTCTATAACTTTGATGTTCTCATAAATCATTATGTCTCTCGCATGTTAATTAGCTTATGAAGGGTTGCCAATCAGTATTCACCACAACGGGAGGAATTGTCCTTTCATTCCCTTTGTGCAAAATTTTATTTTGCCTGCACCTTGTTTAATTCCTTTATCCTTCCAATTGAGAAACTATTTGCAAGCTCAATATTCAGCACATCCAAGAAACTATGCTTTAAAGCGTCACTTGACCTCACAATCTCGAGTTCAAGCACTTGAAAACCATGCACTTTATGTTGTCCCTTTTGTTGCATTGGTAAGGATTAGATCAAGCTCCACAATCAATCCACAATGGTGGTTGCATAATACAATTATGGAAAATCTGCGAAAGGAAAATCAACTTCCTACTTTTCTTATCCAGTGAGGGGGATATCATAACTTACAAAGGAGAAATCTTAATCGAAAAGAGGAAAATCAAATCCTTACTAATGGAATCATGCTCTCTTCCCTTGCTTAACAAAGGGATAATCGAGACCTTGCTGATAATATCATGATCGATCTTTTTGCTCAACAAAGGGATAATCGAAATGGAAACCTTGTTGATGGCATCGTGCTCACTCTTTGTACTCAACAAAGGGATAATCGAAACCCTACTGATGGCATCATGCTCGCTCGTCCTCCTCTGGTGAACCAGCAATTTGTCCAACATGTGATTGATCTAACTATTGATGAAGACAATGGCAACACAAATCGTTTTGGTGATGACTATAACTTGAATTTGAATCTTTGAGAAAATTATTATCTTGATAAGGGCGTTAAAAACTTCAACTTTCAATTATAATAGGATCCCTAATTATTGCTGTTGATTTTATTTCTTTTTACATCGCAATTGTCTTTTTATTATTTAGTTTGTCTAGTCTGTCTTATTTCATCGTTGTTTCTTTAATTTGTTGTTGTTGTTCTTGTTGGTCATGGTTTGTATTTTTTTGTTCTTCATTTCATGGGCTCACATTGTATGTAAATAAGTTTATTATAATTAGTGAATCCTTTTGTTCTCTAAAATTTGATTTTGACGTGTTAATTATCTTATGAGACTTGAAAAGGATATTTTTTTACACATATAATTATAAATGGTAAGTAAAACAACAAAATCCTACTTTTTACAAAACAATTAATATAGAAGAGCATAAAAAAAGAAAAGAAATGTTATATCTAACACCATACTGATTTTGTAAACCATAAAAATCTTATTCTTATCTGTAAAAGAGTTGACAGTCGTATGTGATGAAATGGTAATTAATTTGGGTTATCTTTTTTTTTCCTTTGAATTGTTTGTAATTGATGAAATATTGTTCACTAAAGTTGATATTGATTTTTATTTTTCCTTGTAAATTGTGTAAATTAAGTTGATATCCCTTTAAATTATTGTTCGGGTTCAAAGTCCAGTGCCTACAGTAAATTGTTCTTAATGAATGGTCTAATTTCCATAACATATAACATAATACTTAAAAAATTTCTCAATTATTTAAAAAATTTTAAATAAAATTTTTTATTATATTTAATCAAACACTTATATTTTTATTTTGAATTAAATAAATTCTTATAAATAATATTTGACTAAATGTTATTAGTTAAAATATCACTGGTTATTTTTTATGTCACATGACATATTGATATGTCATAATGAATGATGATGTGACATAATGACATGATTATGTTACATTTTTCACTTTTCATGTCATTATCATCTCAGTGTTATGTGAATATAAACTGACAAATAATATTTTAATTAATAACAATTAATCAATTATTAATTATAATGATCTATTTGACACTGATTAAACGTAATAAGAAAATAATTTTTTTATAATTTTTTAAAATAATTTAGAAAATTTTCAAACATTATGCCTATTAAATAATAATACCAAACATCAAACATCTTGCATGTGCTAATTTCTTTTCTTTTTATTTATGGTAAATATAAAAAAAAAAGAGAAGAATAATTATGAGTGTATTCCCATGACACTGATCAACTTTAAGTAATATAATAGAATCCATAGGCTTCACCATTTGGCAAATCCTAATTTTCTGATGGATCAAACGTTTCCCCTTGTCAGTGAATTTCGTGATATCTTTCAAAGACATTTTTAATTTAGAAATGTCCCTGAAATATCTCAACTAGAATCATGGCTATTCACACAATAGTGTTGGTCTAACTTTCTTCTCATAAAAATTCTTCATGATAGACTTATTTTTAAATAAATAAATAAATTTCTGAAGAGCTGAGGCATCTGGTTTCATCTGCTCTTTGGGGAAAATATAATTTAAGTTTCTATCCATGGGGACCTCGCTGCTAAACCAGATTAAGAAACAGGCTTCATTTTTCCTTCAAGAAAAATACAAAGATGCAAGGATGGCCTTAACTGATGTGACTGCTGCCGAACTGTAAGTACCCTTTTTTTTTTTTCATTTTCCAATGATCTAGTAATTGATCGTTATTTTACTTTGACATAATGCAAATTCATAGAAGATGAAGTGATGGTGTAACCCATTAAGAAAAACAATATTTATTAACATCGTAAGGAGAAAATAAGCTAATAAATTATATTTGTCTGGTTCTTTTCATGCAATAAGTAACATTTGGTCATTATTTTATGATCCTCTTATGAAGATTGGCCGAAGAAGCAACAAATGCTGATCCACGGGGCCCTGATCCTAGAACAATGACTAAGATATCCGAGGCATCATTTTACATAGATGATTATTGGAGAATCGTTTTCGTTCTTCACAAAAGGTAATGAATCCAACATTTCGACTATAAGAAAGAGAAACCAATTGTATTTTCTCATGATTCTAGTACAATCTTGAAAAATGAACTCATCACGATCATATTCTTGATTAATAACAATCCTTCTGCAGGTTGGATAGCATTGACTGGAAGCATTGGAGACAATCATACAAGGCGTTGATTCTCCTTGAGTTCTTACTAACTCATGGCCCTGCAGACTTTGCTGAGGAATTTCAACGTGATAGTGATGTTATTGAAGAGCTGGGAAGATTTAGACATGTAGATGAGAAGGGGTAACTAATCTTCTTATTCTTCTTTTTGAGGTTCCCCACATTTATCTATTCAATATGCTAAATATTTTGTATGTTGTTGTTCTTCTTTGTGTTAGGTTCAATTGGGGTCTTAACATGCAAAAAAGATCAGATAAGGTACTAGAGCTACTAGGAGGAGGAGATACGCTCAGAGAAGCAAGGCTGAAAGCCCTCAAAATAACAAAAGAAATCCAGGGATTTGGTAGCACAACAACTTCTCCTTCCTCAGCATCATCTTCCTCATATTCATCAAGAGCTTCATCTTTTGGCTCATATTCTTCCACATGGAATGACATAAATGAACTAGACAAATTTGAGACCCAAATATTGCCTACAAAAGAACCTGTACAACACTATTCTGAAGGAGGAATCCAAGAGGAGAAGACTCTTGAATTCCCCTCAGAAAATGAAAATTTTAGCAGGCTGCATCTTTGGGATTGTCCTCCAATTCAAGAAAAAGGGTCCTTGTTGGAATCTGAAGGGGAAGAAGATGAAAAATCAGATGGTTTTATCAGTGGAATATGCTCAAAACTTGTTGGTAATAGTCCTTCAAAAAGAGCTACGGGTCAGAAAGTGGCACTCATCCGGAGCATTTCTGATGTTGGAAAGGTTACTAAAAATAGGTTTGGTCGCCAGTATTCTTTGGGGTCTTGATCAAGTCATGTGAGAAGAAAAAGTAGAGGATATGTGCTTATTTGATAAATTCTAGTATACTTCGTTGTATATAACAAGTTTTACCACACAGAAATTTAACTTGTAAGTAACAAATACCCTAATAATGCATGTGATATAAGTATCATTTTACCAGACAGAATGAATTAGATATGTATTTTGAATAAGTTTAATTATGAGTCTTGAAAGTATGTATTAGCCTAATGCTTGTAGAAATAGCTACTTGATATTTCTTTTTTTTTTTTTGGGTATTACTATGTTTTCCCCATTTTTTTAATAATCAATTTATCTATATGCAGGATATAGAACAAGTTAAGGCAATTACAAAAGGATAATGTGTTGGAAGGAAAACAACCAAATTGTAGATTCAAATTATTAGACAAAATTTTGTAAATAAATAAAATGAAAAGAAGATTTCCTTTTTCCCTTCTCTAATGTAAAACTAATGATATTTTTTTTCCTTCTTGACTTTGTTGGAAACAGTTGAGCAATACCATTGTTGTCCTTATAATTGATAACCTCATAATTGAGCTTTATCAAACAACCATGTTCCTTAAAGGACTACTACCTTAATGTCAAAAATTAATACCAACGTTTATTTGTCCTTTTGTGTTTTAAATACTTACGCTTGCTAGCAAGCTTATGTCTTATCATTATGCCCTTTAAAAGTTTGATACTCAAAAGTTGCAGACATAAAACAAGCTTCCCAATTCAATGGTTAAATTTTTTTCTCTCTTCTTAACTGCATGCCAACCTCTTTTTTCACCACTTTTTCTCCTATTTGCTCTTCTCCTTAATTTCCTCTGAAAGTTTGACAACTACCATCTAGCTACTCTCCAACTCACCTACAGCTGCAAAGCTAGAATTTAATTAATATTCATAACCGAAATTGACAAACAAATTGCAATATAAAGTTCCTATACAAACTAGGGAGGCAACTTTTGCCAAGCATCGAGTAATATCTTGACACGCAAGTCATATTAGATGAACTTTCTGCTCATAAAGTCAGCCAAAATAATTATTACCCTCCATCCAGAAATACCAGCTACATCTTAGAGCTAATATCATATATATGTGTGTGTAGTTTTGTTTACTGGGTCACATTTTCCTCACCAAAATATGCTTCATAACCAGGTCTTTGTCTATTTTATCTGCTTGGTGATAAGGAGGCCTTAATTTATTTTCATTTGCAACATTTATTCCAAGTGGGTCCTAAGGGATTGTGATTTGTTCCTTTTTTTCCTTGGACATGTTAAGAGAACTAATTTTTAATTGCCATTCTATATTTTAAATAGGTTTTTTTTTTCGTTCTTGTTGGATTCCACAAAAACATTTGCAATATCTGTTCTGTATAAATTTCCTTTTTTTAAAATTTTTTTGGGGGAATTATATCCACAATTCTTCAATGGAGAATATGGACAAAGGTTAAGTGATTATATATTCTTGTTGAATTCCATAAAAGCATAGCAAAGACAGTGCATATGATTGCAGGTACGAGCTATGTTGTGTTTGTCTATGAATTTTCTTCTCTATTTTTTAATGTTGCCTTTGTTCTGGAATATGAATCATATATATCCCCTTGTATTACCATAATGGACAAAGGGTAGGTGATAGAGGCCAGATAATAAACCAGCCAATCCTCTCTTGTGAAATCTTATCTTTTCTTATTTCTACGGTAGGTTAGCATCTCGTAATCCTTCCATTAAGATTTGAGAATCCCTCCAGGATGTCATTCCTTTTTCAATAGATCACTTCTAAATAGAGAAATTCATTTGGATTTCAAGGCATTTTAAAGAATTAAAAATAAACCTCACAAGACAAAATATGAATGAAAATCTTCTACTACACTTCATGTCTCTAAATAAAAAAAAAAGGGGGATTTTTATTCTCTAGAATATGTGCTAATGGTAGTTCGAGTAAATTAGGAAGGGACAATCTAAGCATGTTGGTTAAGAAATATGCTACATTATGATAAGCTAGCAACCTTATTAAATAAAAATGAAAAATTTTAAAAGTTTTAAAAATAATAATTTGAATAATTTGGATATGAATATAAATGACATAATGTTTGAAAAAGTTCAAAAATCATTTGTGAAATTTTAAATAAATTTTTATTTTTTTACTAAGTTCAATCAAGCTACTATATTTTTATTTCGAGTTAAATAAATTTTTATAATTAATGATTAATTAATTATTATTAGTTAAAATGTCATTTATTATGCTTATATTCATGTGATATTAACGTAAGTGGTGAAAACTATCATATGATAATATCATCATATCATCATCTGTTATGATATGTCAACATGCCACGTCAATATTATGTGACATAGAATGAGAAGTGATAATTTAATTGACTAACAACAGTTAATCAACCATTTGTCATAAGAGTTTATTTAACTCAAAATAAAAATATAAGAATTTGATTAAATACAATAAAAGAATAAAAGTCTAATTCAAAATTTCTAAATTATTTATAAATATTTTTTAAATATTATACTAATAAAAATTATGTGTCTTTAAAATTTATATGATTTACATTCACTATCATTTTCTTCTTTCTTCACATTTTTCTTTAATTTGGACCGTTTCGCATAGATTAATAGGTTCCACAACTTTCCATGCGACTGTTAATTGTTTGTAGACATTTGTGACAATGTTCTGCCTTCTATGAAAAACATATATACTCCAATTCTTAAATTTTCCAAAAGACTAAAGGAATATAAAAAGAAACATTAGGGAAAGAGAATGGGTCAAAACAAGTGAACCAACTACCAAGAACCAAAGGACAAAATTGGAGCGGTGTTTAATGCAAAATTGGAGAGAAGCAGGTCTTTTCTTTGTCTAGGGGTTAGAGCACATTTGGACCTACCTATATAAGACTTGAAAATTAATTTAGTTATAAGTATTTTCATTATAAATTGGACATTAGCATAATGACTTAATTCAAAGTAGATAGGAGAGGATAATGATAAAGACTACAAAGAGCATGCACCCCACGAAATACCCTTTTATTTTCTTTTTAATTTTCTTAATTAGTTTTACTTTTAGATAATTATGCATTACTTGCCAATTAATAATAAACTAAACAAAAGGCCGTTTGCTGCTTGTTTGGGGCCAGGGGAACATCACAAATGATACTATTAGAAATTTCTATAATTCACAGCTTTATACATTGAATGTGCCCAATTTAAAGTATTGGGGGTGTTAAGTTTATGGAAGGATTATTTTAAAGAATCTTTCAATTTTGTCTTTCTATCAAACTTAGGTTTTGATTTTGGCACTTCATCACATGTTGACATCTACATTTCATAACAAAATCCAACCTTTATTTTTAATCATAAGAAATTAATAAATTGTAATTTGATCGATATATGATCGTAGCAAAATTTTAAATTATCATCTATAATACATTAAATTTCAATATATATTGTGAGATTACGAAATTTATAAAATAGAATTGTCAAAAAAAGATTATCATTTTGTGAATTTAAAAAATGATAAATCCGTATCTTTAATCTTCGTCAATAAATATAGACCAATCCTAAATGAAAAAAAAGACATACCCGTTATTATTTTTTTTGTACATATATAAATAGAAAGATCTTAGACAAGGAAAGGTGAAGATGATCATACGTAAAAAGGGTTGCATTTGTATGACATCTTTAGGAGATGATGGTTGATAATAGAACAAAAAGGAAAAGAAATAGCAATAATAAACAAAGAAACTAGAGAAAGGAAATGAGTGAGAGATGGGGATATCTTGTTAATTTTCGTTTTCATCCACAAGTAAGAAAATCTTTCACCTAACCTTCTTCTTCCTTAAGTAAGAAACTTGTTTGTTTAGGAATAAGTTAGTAACACACGTGAAGAGCTTAGCAAAGGTATGAAAGGAGCCCCCAAGAAAAGATTATGAGCAAAAAGAAACACCCAAAGTAATGTAAACATTGCAATGGCAATGTAATGAAAACAATGTAGAAGAAATCAATGGATAGGGAAAATAGAAAGAAACAATTTGGAAAAGTGTGGGCATCTATATAAAACCACTAATTATCCCATTGACAAAATCTCCCATGAGGGCTTTTCCTTCATCATGTTATCCCAATCATTGATTGGGCAAAAGACCCTTTTCCTCATCATGGTCTAGATTCCCCCTCACTAGGAAAGATTTGGGAACTGTGATTGGCTTAAGCCTTTCGAATTATGATGGCATTACCACTATTATCATGGACTTTTTATGCCTCATTAGCCTTTTTTTCATTCACATCAATAATTTTCTCACACTATCTTTGTGATGCCCATGTCGTATGAATATGAATTTATATGGAGGAAATTATCACTTTTAGAATACCATCACCACCTTAGTGAAAAAAAGATAAGATTCTTTTTTCATTATTGTAATAAAACGATTAGAGACATGATAGTTCATTACATTTGATAATTTATTTCATTTACGATTAAAATTTATTTATTTAATAATTTAGACTTCTATATTCTTAGATTGAAAATTTTGATTGTTGATAGAATTGTTTAAAAAAAATAGTATATTAGTACTAAAATCAGGCAGTCATCAAAATTACCATAAACCTACTACTTAAAACCTCATTAGTAAGCCTAATAAAAAAAAATCATTAGTAGGAGCGGCATTCAACGTTACCGTTGACTAAAAATAAAAGGTTATTACCGTTAATTCACCTATTTAATGATATTTTAGTCAGAATAATATTTGTCCTTTTCGCATCAGCATCTACCCATGCTTGTCGTCAACTTAAGTTTCTAATTATACCCCTCAACGTTTCCTTTAACTTACCCCAACAAAACGTTTCTGACCGAAGTGGTATCAAGTAAGTAAATGTTGGTTTTTCTTCAGTTTTCACTTTCTCAGTTGAATGGCATCCTAAGACTTCAACAAAACAGTCTTTGGATCCTCTCTCTCTCTCTCTAAAAGGAGACCCTTTCTTTTTTGTTTCACTTTCTCTCTCTAAAAACTTCTCTGTTTCTCTGAGAACTTTCCCTTTCCTTGGGGTCTTTCTGATTCTCTGCAAAACCTTTTTCTGTTACTAAACTGAGCTATCTTTAGAACCCAAATGTCAAAATTTTTTCTTTTTTGAAGATTTTTGTGAAAAATTGTAAGCTTTTAATTTGATAACAAAGTCATTTCACCTTCAAAGATCTGTCTTTTGAGGGGGTAACAATGAAGTCTTCAACTCGGCTTGACTCAGTTGTGTTCCAACTCACACCAACTCGAACCAGGTAACAATTTTCCTTGATTGGTAGCTAATACTTAGCTTGATAGAGGAATTAAGCATTAGTCTATTTTTAGTATTTGAATAAATATTATTTTCTTATTTTTTTTGATAGAGTTATGTTTTATCAGTTTGAAATGTTACCAGTAGTCCTTACTGGGTGTGCATTAGTATATGTTTAGGATTTTGAATTCAGTATAAATAATGAATGTGTTCATATATAACCTTTGTAGATATATTTTAATATGTTCTTCTTTACTTTCATCAGGTGTGATTTGGTGATATCTGCAAATGGAAAGACAGAGAAAATAGCTTCAGGTTTGCTTAACCCATTTCTTGCCCACTTGAAGACTGCACAAGAGCAGGTGGCCAAGGGGGGTTATTCAATTATCCTTCAACCAGAACCTAGCATTGATGCATCTTGGTTCACAAAAGGAACAGTGGAAAGGTTTGTAATTCTATTTGGTGCTTCTTTCTTACTGGGATTATTTGCCATATCATGAAGATTGGATGAGCCTGCTCTGTTTTTTAACAAAAGGCTATTTAGTTGTTATTCCAGTAAGAAATTGGCATAGGAGCACTGCTTTTGTGCTATGATGGTTGAGTCTGTCATATCTACCAATCATGTTGAAGAAAATGGCTCTAAGATAAATCTTTTCTTTCCCCTTTAAATTGGCATGAGAAGCCAATCTGTTTTGTCCTTTTCAGGTTTGTTCGATTTGTGAGTACTCCAGAGATCTTGGAAAGGGTGTATACCGTTGAGTCTGAGATTTTGCAAATTGAAGAGGCTATTGCAATTCAAAGTAACAACAATATAGGATTGAGTGCTGTAAGTAAAATCTTTTGGAAGTCTATCATATGTATACCATAGAGATTAATTATACTTGTTCTTTTTTTGACAGGTAGAAGATCATCAAGTAAAACCTTTGGAAAGCATAGAAGGTACTCTTAATAATTTTTAGCCTATATTCTTCACTTCTAACTTCATCTGAATTAGTTCCATTTTTAATGTAATCATGGATGGAGTGGTGGATTAAAAAGTCATATTTCATATTTTCTAGTCATCTTGTATCTATGTTCCTTTTTCCATTCCAGAGTTACTGTCAAGCTAAGAAAGGTTGTTAGTGCAGTATCATGCTTGTTCAAGTCTTTCATTCCACAATTCTTTCATGAGTAGTTTTGAAATTTTTCGCTTTCATTTTTAACTTTGTATTGGTTCTTGCATCACACCTGATGGCTTTGGGCAGGCAGCAGGGTTACACCAGATTCCAATGAGGAGAAAGCCATTGTCCTCTACACGGTGAGTATCCACTAGATAAATCTTAGCATATATTAAATCTTTTCGTAAATTTTTTTAACTTTTTTTTTTAACATTCTGGCAGCCTGGTGCACAGCCACCTGAAGCGAATGGGTCTGCTGTGCAGGAAGGAAATTCTAAGTATGTTACAGTTTTGGTTGCACGGATATTTTTTAATTGAGGATAATGAATTGCGTAATATTATTAGTTTTTAGTGATCACTGCAAATTTTGCATAGTTTGATATTTATTTTCCATCTATCTGCTTTCCTAGAAAAGCTTTAATTAGACAGAAAATTAGGGATGTCATGAATCCAAAAACCTTATAATGGTAGATATTATCACAGTTCAGCATGTAAAATATCAAGCGGAAGTGCCCTGAATTTCATCCAATTTGACAGACAAGATAAATAACTTTTTCATGTTCCTGGGGTTGCTTTACCTTCCAACTGTATAAGGTCTACTTACTTGAACTTGGCTAACTTGACTTGAACTACTTAAGCTCAAGCTTGAATGAACAGTGAAAGAGACGAGCCTGAGTATTCTTGGAGTCTATTCCAAGTAGCATGCGAGTCGGCTTGACATGGTTACACCCTTGTCTGAGAGGATCTTCCTTGGGGGACCACGGGGATTTTGGGGGAAGACAGAAAACATGGCGCTTTTGGGGAGAGGATGTGGAAGAGAGGCGTATTAGATTCTTTACAATTTACTACAATGTTTTGCGTAACTTTCTGTTGACTTTTTCTGTCTTTCACTACATGTATACTCAATTGCTTATAGTTAAGGGGTAAGAATTCAAAAAGTGATTAAAATGTTTGTAGTTAATTAGATAATCACTCAGGACAGCCGAACATTTTATACTTTGCAGTAAAAGAGGAAAAAGGTGAAAAGAATGAGACAAGTGGCACATTATGTCATGTTAACAGTGAAGAACAGAGTGTTGAATATCATCTCTTTTTGTATGTTTAATTTGTTGGAATGATCTTAAGACCATACATACATATTGTTTTTACTTTATATTAGAGTTCAACTTTTGAAAGTTCTGGAGACAAGGAAGACAGTGCTGCAGAAAGAGCAAGGTATGGCCTTTGCACGTGCTGTAGCTGCTGGTTTTGATGTTGATCACATGGCTCCTTTGATGTCATTTGCTGAAAGTTTTGGAGCCTCTCGTTTGAGGTAAGTGGAATTCGTGGCAACTTAGTTCGATGCATCCATATATTCCTTATAGGTGCTCACATTCTCATATATTGATTGCTTGTTTTTCCTAGGTCAAAATTTATTAAGTTTAAGATTCAGTTTTCCACTGTGAGACCCATGAAAGAGTAATTTGTGCACCTTTGGATAGTCTTTTGATTAAGTTCTTTATTTCATTGCAGAGATGCTTGTGTAAAATTTACTGAATTATGGAAAAGAAAGCATGAAACCGGCCAGTGGCTTGAAATTGAAGCAGCTGAAGCAATGTCTAGTCGATCTGATTTCTCTGCTATGAATGCATCTGGAATTGTGCTTTCCAATATGATCAATAAGCAGAAAGAGCTCAAGGAAGCATGGCCTGAAATTTCAGAAAATAGTGGAAAAGCTGGTGTTGAGTCAAGTACTGGTATGGGTTTTACATATGTCCTCTAGATAAAATGTTAGTTCATCCTCTCTTCTATATGATGGGACACATTGCTCTGATATTCCTTTAGTAACTCATCAATTTCCTTCTTGAAATCGAGGGATATTAATTTATTTTATTTTATTTTTGTATCCTATGGGTCACAGGTTACTTTAGTATTATTGCTATTTTCATAGAATGTTACATGTTTCTCTCTGCTGTGGACTTGTTGATATTTCTGTCAGCACGTTCAGTAAATACGTGCATCAATGTTTTCTCTGTCTGGCTATTGCTTGATTTTTGTTTTTGTTTATAATTCTTATAATTTGGTTGGGTTATTTAACAGGAGGTAAGTTTTTCCCCATTTAATTTTCCACCCGCACCATTTGCTTGGGCTTGATCCCAGGACTTGCAAACTCTCACCATCATCGGCCACTTGTGCCATTACTTTGCTGGTTACTAGAAAGTTATCTAAGTTGGAATGTCCCTGTTGTGACATTCATCCATTTGCTTTTCAGACCGCATTTGTATGCTTGACATTTCATGCTTACTACATTCTCCAAATTACGAATTGAAAAGTAAAAAAAATTTATTGATTTGGCCAGATGAGAAGCCTCCAATGGATCAACAAACCCCTGGCCGTCAAGAATATTACCAAGCCCAGTTTCCTATGTTTCCTCCCTGGCCTATCCATTCTCCACCAGGTGGTATGCCAACCTTTCAAGGATATCCTATGCAAGGCATGCCCTACTACCCAAATTATCCAGGAAGTCCATTTTTCCAGCAGCCTTATCCATCAATGGAGGATCCAAGACTAAATGCTGGTCAAAGAATACAGAAACGGCATTCAATGGAAAGCAGAGATAGCCATACTGGATCAGAAACTTGGGAAATGGAGAGAGCAAATTCTCAAGATGAAGAGGAGTTGGACAATGAAACTTCACTAAGTCCAAAATCAAGAAAGAAGAGCAGTAGGTCAGGTAAAAAGCAGTCAGGAATGGTGGTCATTCGGAACATCAATTATATCACTTCAAAGAGGCAAGACTCTTCAGGTAGTGATTTGCAGTCACATTCTGGCTCTGAAATGGAAGAGGAAGATGGAGATTCTGAGCATAAGAACTCTCTGAGATCCTCAAAGGGGAAAGGAAGTCGCACAAAGTCTGTTGATGCATTGAATTCATTTGATAGGGAAGAAACAGTTCCTGGGAAGGAGACAGACGGGGGACACTGGCAAGCATTTCAAAATTATTTACTTAGAGATGCTGAAGAAGAAGAACGTAGAAGTGATCAAGGCATGTTTTCAGTGGAAAAGGAGGTTCGAGGAAAGAGAAGACCAAATAGATTGGGTGAAGACCCTTCACTCTATGGTGAACGAGAAATGGGTCAATTTGAAGAAGGGAATACAACTGATTTGGATAAAATTAGTGCAAGTGGCTCTCGCGTGCCTTTGGCATCAAATGATCAGTCTTTGATTTCTAGAAGAGCTGGTCACTCTGCTGATGGTAGGATTTTCATGGATGGTCAGATGGATTTATATTCTAAAGAAATAGATGGTAGGAGGGTGTATAGGAGGAACTTAAAGGATGATTTTATAATAGATAGGCAGCAGAATCAGTCAGATTTTACAAATTCTCCATCAGATGCGTTGGCTTTTAATGGGTTTGAACGTTCATCCAACAGTTTGGAAAGAGGATCATCAAATAATATAGATGATTCCTACATAGTTCCATTCAGGTCAACTTCAGTGACTGAAGTTGGAACTGATGATCGAAATGCTATCAATATGGATTCTGAGTTCTCCTTGTCACTTCAGAAAGCAGAAAATATATCTAGTAAGTTTGGAAGTCGGGTCAAATACGAACCAGATGATTTAAGTTTGATGCCTGAACGTGGAGCAGAAATGGGGTCAATTGGTTATGATCCTGCTTTGGATTATGAAATGCAGGTTCATGCTGAAGATGGTAATTCAATGAATAAGAAAAATAAAGAGGGCATGCAGGGTTCTAAAAAGTCAGACAAGGACCGAAAATCGAAACTTATTGCTGATACTTCAGATAGAAAGAAGGCAGTAGGGCCTATAAGGAAAGGAAAGCCTTCAAAACTGAGTCCTTTGGATGAAGCCAAAGCCCGGGCTGAGAGGCTAAGAACCTATAAAGCTGATCTTCAGAAAATGAAGAAGGAGAAGGTACGCTTTGGTGCAAACTGAATACTTTGAATGCTTATAATACAACCACAACTCTCTTTACCAGCCAGCTTATGTGGTTTATGAAATAGATTCTTTATTTGTTAATTCATTTTTTTAACACTTTTTCAGGAAGAGGCAGAGATTAGACGACTCGAAGCATTGAAGATTGAGAGACAAAAGAGAATTGCTGCTAGAGGCAGTTCTATCCCTGCTCAGTCATCAGTGCCCATGCAAAGCAGGAAACAACTCCCATCAAAACTTTCCCCAAGCTCTCGTAAGGGATCAAAGTTTACTGATGCTGAGCCTGGATCATCATCGCCACTACAAAGATCCATCAGGACTGCTTCTGTGGGATCAACTGATTCTCACAAAGCCTCCAAACCCAGCAAATTGAACACTGGAGCCCACTCCAGTGGAAATAGATTAAGCCAGTCAGTTTCATCACTGCCTGAGCCGAAGAAAGACATCGGCAGTGTAACTCCTGATGCAAAAGCATCTATGGCAAGGATTAGAAGATTATCAGAGCCAAAAACAAGCAGCAGCCCGCATGTTTCTTCGGTGAAGTCACGGAACTCTGAACCATCATCAAAAACAAAAGTATCAGGTGGGCCTGAAAGCAAAAAAATATCAGCAATTATAAACCATGATAAAAGCAAGATTGCGTCTCTTCCAGAACTCAAAACCAGAACAGCTAAAGCACCTGATGTTACCCACAGCAAATCAGGAGGAAATGAAATAACACAGAAGGTGAATGGAAGTACTTCTTCTACTGCCAAGGTTACTGAACCAAATAGGAACAAGGAAAAAGTTTCAGTTTATATTGATGGGGATGACAGTACAGTAATTGAGAAAACTGTTGTGATGCTTGAATGTGAGAAACCCTCCATTCCCACAGTAAATTCCTTAGAAGGAACTACAGCAGTACAGAAGGAACATGATGGCATCTTTAAAATAGGGAGGAAAACTGAGATGGTGTCAGATTATGCTGCCACCATTCGTGCACCAGTTTCTCCAGTGAATGTTGATGCGCTTGATAAAGAACACCAGATACAACAAAGACCACAAGCTTATGAGGTAAGGTTTTTAAAAAGTTCATTGACAAGGCACAACTCTTTTTTAATTAATGTAGACTGGAGATTTGTAGTTCTATATACAAATCATCAGTTGGTGATATATTTCTTATTATCATTGTTGCAAGGTTACGCCACTTAATTATATTTCTTCCTCAACACAACTTATAAATATATTGATAATTCAAACGTTTTTAGTCATCTTTTATCATTTAATCACAGCAAACACTTCTAGAAGACTCGCCATCCTTGTAGAGAGCTCATCAAAACCTTGTTCTCAATCTACTTCCATTGTGATGTCAGTTCAATGCCAAGTTGTTGAAACAATCTGTTTTAATGAATTTTCTTTTTCATCTTAACCAGAGAATAAATATTATGTGCCTCTGAACGTGAGTCTTCTTGACAATATGATGTACAAATTTCCAGGTTCAGAAGGGAAATGTGAGTAACACTGAGAAGGAATCATCAAAATTTAAGAGCTCAAGTGTTTCTGAAAAACCTTATCAAGCCCCTTTTGCTCGGGTCTCTTCTTTGGAAGATCCATGTACTGAAATTTCAGAGTATGGCAGAGCACCTCCAACTAGCATGCAGGCTGCAGCAATGGAGTCAGAGAATGTTAGAGCTCTTGTAGTTGATTCTAAAAACTTGAAACTAGAAAAGATTCCTGAATTTTTGGATAAGCCTCAGGTAAAGGAGTCATCCAAAGGATTTCGACGGCTGTTGAAGTTTGGAAGAAAGAGTCATAGCTCAGCTACAAGCGAACGTAATATTGAATCAGATAGTGTCAGTGTTAATGGTTCTGAGGCTGATGAGTTAGTTGCAAACACTGCATCTTCTAGTGAAGGTAATTGCCTTGTATTTCATCCCTTGTGCACATTGATGGATAGTGATATACAAAATGCATGACTTTTTCAAACTCTGATAAACTATTTGTTGATGATTCTGCTTAAAAGATACATACCATTTGAAATTAGTATTATTTGGAACAAATGAGTTATTTGCACTTTAGTTTTTTGGAATTGTTGTCCAACATATTTGATAAGCTGCAAGGCCAGGCATGAGATCCTCTTGCAAATCTGTCTTCTAATATACTTAGATTGTTTAAAAGTTGTCAGTGCTACTAAATTTCTTTTTGTTTTATTTTTTGATAGGTAAAAGGCAACTGCATAAGAAGGATAAGTGAGTCAAATATTGGATCAAAATTCACTGTGAAAATGTTATGATATATGGGCTTTAGGTTATATTTAAAGTTTTTTAATTTTTTGAATCCAATGCAATTTTAGAAAATCATTTGGACACTATGTGGGTTAGGATTTGGTCTCGAGGATAATTTCCATCAATTGAGTTCTGTGGCTGGGTGTCTTATTAGGTGCATGGGAGAATGTTTGGTTCTAGTATGAAGCTCTGAAACAGGGTTTTTTATCATCAAAATATGAATGCTCCTGGTTTATTCGGTTTGAGCACTGACAATTGTAAATTAAATTGGCTGTTGCCAATTAGTCAGTAGCTACATGTGCTAAGATTGGCAATTTACTTGCAAATCCAAAATTGCAATGCTAGAATACTGAGTTTAGGTCATCTGATGTTTTTATTCTAGCTTAGTTGATATTTGGTCCTGAAGCTGACTAATTATCTGGTTGTTGTCAGTTCATATGTTAAAGAATCTGATCTCTCAGGATGAGACCCCAACAGCCGGCAATACTCCACAAAAGGGTAAGTAGTTGCTGCTCCTTGTACCATATTTATTCTTTGATTCCTTTTCTCCCCCAATGTTTACAATTATTAGTATTTTACATCATTAAGGTGGATAATCTGACATGAAGCACTTTATTTATAATCATGCAGCTTCTCGCACTTTTTCCTTGTTGTCTCCATTCAGAAACAAGACCAGTGAAAAGAAGTTGACAGCTTGACGGTGAAGGTGAAGTGGCAAAGCTTGTCTTCTTTTCTGTGGATTTGGCTGTGAATTGTTACATATATTTTTTTAATTTCTTTTTCCTTCTGCTATGTGAAAAAATAGGAATCATTAAAAATATTTTGGTAAAAAAGTTCTTTCTGGAGCCACTTTCATTGGTTAATGTTCTTCAGCTGAATTGGTTTGTAGCAACATCTCCACATGATCATATATACTTTTTTATCCACCAACCAAACAAAACCACAGACTTAAACAAAGAATTCACTTTTATTTTATCCCCTACATTTGTAATAACTATGGAGACGTCAAGTCATTGGTTTGATTTTGTATTGTTGGTGTAGAACAGTAGAAGTTTCTTATTCTTATGTGCGAGGTTCACTTTTGAGGTCTATGGAGGTTTATTTTATTTGATAAGAGATAGAGTGTATCTTATCTGCTGCACCTATCAGATTGCTGCCATTTCCATTTTATTGCCATGCAAGATCAACACATCAAAAAAAAAAAAAA